TGCGAAACTTCCCGCTTGTCAGTGTCATATTTGACAGTAAATGGGGCGCAAATGGGGCTCCCATTTACTGAAATACCATGAATTTCGATCCCCCCCATTCCAACCGTGAGTACCCCAGGCCATTTCCGTTACAATATCCTGTTTAGCGCCAATTGTCTTCGTTTCTGTTGAATTTGTCGTCATGTTTGTAGATTTCAACGGCTTCTCATATTAGTCGGGGGCGATAGCCTGTTGTTGTGGCCAGGACCTGTACCTCTCCGAAATAGATGTGTGTTCCATCGCTGAGGGCAAGTTCTGTCACTGCCGACTTTTCCACATGTCCCAGTTTGCAATTCCGTCGGTGTTCTATTCTTGTCGCAACGGATCTCTTAGTAGTTCCTATGTAGACGCTTCCACAGGAGCATGGAATCCGGTAGATTCCTGCAGTTGCGAGGGGGGGTCTGCTGTCTTTAACTGACCCTAGACATTCTCGGATCTTTGTTGTGGGCTTGTAGACTGTTCTTATGTTGTGTTTCCTCAGGCGCCCCCCAATTCTGTCCGTAACCCTGGGAACAAAAGGCTGCAAAGTTTTCAGAGTGGATTCACTTTTTTTAGCACAATCCACTCCTACAGCTTTTTTGATGTCCAACTGGGAATATCCGTTCTGAAGAAAAGCTCTCACGACAGGAGACAGAATCCAGTGCACCGGAGGATAGCAACAGCCAACAGAATGCGCAGGCTTCGATGACACAGGCCACGTCATCGCACCCGGTGAATAAATACGGACTGCGCCCGAGGAATCGCATCGCAACCGGTGTAAGCGTTCCAGCAAACCACTCGTGATTGTGAAACGTCAAGAAGAAATTCTACCGAACGACGACCTAAAAACCCGAATAACCCATTAGTTTCAATGTATCCAATGATACATGTGGCTTGCTTATGAAAATGTTGACTATTAACAAAAATGAGTTCAAATCTGTTGGTGAGAGTAATCAAGTGTCGCGGACTGTATATTAAAAGAGTGAAAAATAGTTTTTTGCATGCTAAACCCAACTGACAAGAACTAGCTGGTCCTACACCGGTCTCGTGAGTGCTTGGCACGAAACTCCTGCACTTTGAGTCAATCCATGTATTTTGTATTGCAGGTTGTGAACTCGACATTCGACGAACTGATATGCCAATGGTCTTGCAGCCTGGCGAATTGAACTTCATGTATCCGGAAAATGGTGATGCTGTTTTAAAAATCAGCGCAAATACCACTATAGTTTTGGCCTGCCCAGGACAGAACATTACATTCGATTCGTCGACAATCTACAGAAATGTGACTTCAGCATCCTGCGTATCAGGAAGCAATTTAAATGTAGATAGTAAAACATTTGCATGGGAGAACATAACATGCGACGGAACTCTGAGTAGAATGGCCAAAGTGACCGACAATAAATGTGAAAATAACGGAACCGAAATAGAAATTGGCTTTCAATTGACACAAGATTTTTTTTCACGGGTATTTTTGATCTGCTTTGATGAAAACGCTCAGCGAGCACTATATTCAAAAGTGAGCATCTCTGGTGCAATTAACAAAAGAAATATTGTCACGAACCCTGGATGGGTACAAACGCAGGATATCTTCAGCATAAAAAATCCAAACTCGTATTACAACCGAATCACACAAAGGCAAACTATAAATACTTTGCTTGGACTGCCTGGCAACTCTACCATGTATATTAAAGACAATAGCAATTATTTCCTATCCAGAGGACACATAACTGCAAAAGCTGACAACTTCTATCCCGCACAGCAACAAGCATCATTCTTTTTACTGAATGTAGCACCTCAATGGCAAACATGCAATGCCAACAATTGGCAAACCGTGGAAATATCTGTGAGAGACTATGCAGAAGCAAAACGTGTGGATCTTCTTCAATGGACCGGAGTGTATGGATTGGCAACTTTACCACATAGTAAAACAGGGCAGTTAGTGCAACTGTATTTGTACACTCAGAATAACACAAAAGCTTTGCCAGTACCAGAACTCTATTGGAAAATTGCGTATGAGCCAATTAAACAAAAGGGAATCGTTCTGATCGTCGTAAATAATCCCTATTTGGAAACATATCAACGGATCTGTGAGGACATTGCTGACAAAATTACCTGGATAAACTGGGATAGAAATAATCAAATAAAAGGTTTTGCCTATGCCTGTACCGTAGATAGTTTTAGAAAGGTGGTAAGTTACTTCCCAGAATTGACTGTGCAAGGCGTTTTGTTGTAAGTTATTAATAACATGTACGTTGAGAATGTCTTGATTATGAGCGTGTAATAAAGAATATATTTGGATTGATATGGACTTGATCAAATGCTAACTCAGAGCGTAGCAAATTCCAAATGCAAAGGTGCTCAATTTGCGAGATTTTGTGCCTACCACAAATTAAGCTGTATTTTAACACCTTTTAGAAGCGATTATTTGATACTAAAAAATCAAATAAAAATTCTACATACACAGAATATTGGGATTGAATTTAATTGTCGTTTAAATTAAATTGAAATATTTTCAACATTAATCACAAGAAAAAAGGGCAAAAAAACAAAAAAGGTTTAAGATAAACCGTTTATTTAAAAGGTTTCTCCACCAAATGTTCACTAAATGCGAGATTAAAATAAGCTTGCATTTAGGACTGTTCACTATTGATAATTGAACCCAGCCCATGCCAAAATAACAGTAATTAAAAAGCAAATAAACCATTTTATAATAATGCAATTACAAAGTAAACTGATATTAATGCGGCTGTGATGTAAATTATTACTTAGCTCGCCTGTTTGGCTCCGTAGCAGTCGGAGGCGGAGGGGGACCCCTTCTATCGAGTTCTTCGAGATAATTCAAAATTAATTGAGTCCTTTCTTGTGGTATATGATCCAAAATCAAAAATCTATAAGAATGATTCTAATTAGCACAGTTTTTGGAAAATTATGGAACATAAGCGAATTACCTTTTGTCATTTTTCAGAATGTCTTCAATTTCCTGCATGTGATTTTGATTTTCTCTGAGCAACGTCAATGATTTGTGTGTTATCAGTTTGGTTTCTTGCAACAATTCTTTAAACTGATTTTTCGCAGTCAACAGTTTATCTTTTAGATAATCCTTAAATTCTCGTTCACACTATTCAATAAATTGATTAAATTCTAACAATAAGGAACTCTCAGTTTTCTATATCTTACCCTTTCGCTGGAAGAGAATTTTGTATATCTTGGATCATCTCTGATAAGCTTTTTTATTTCTTTCCAGTTGCTAACGAGGTTAACCTCAGATGTTTCATCTAGCATTTCCCTGAAGCTCTGACGCTTCTTCTTCAGCAAAGCTTCAACATGTTCATTAAATAGCTTTTCTTTCTGGTCACGAGGCAGAGACTCGGCCAGATCCCACCGATGATCTTTCCTTAGGATTCTCTTTACCTCCTTCCAGCTCAGTTCCGAATTTCGAACCAAGTCAACGAGCAATGCGTTGAAGTGCTATAAGTAAAATGTAGCATAAAAAATACGACATTGAACATAGTCAGGTTTATGTTTACTTGTCTAGCCTCGTCTCTTTTATGTTGCTCCCTTTCCTTCTCCCGATCCCTCATATGAGTAGCCAACGTTCTTTGAACTTCTTCTTCGCGTCTTTTAAGACTAGCTTCTGCTTTAGCCTGACGCTCCTTGTCCTTTTCTTCCTTTGCCTAATTAAAA